GTAGATACTATAATTCTTATATCCATGTTGTTTACACCACATCCCGACCCATAGACGGACCAGGTAGGTATCCTCTTCTTCGTTTCAAACAACCCCTCCCTCCACACGCAACACAATTCACTCCTTCACGCTTGGTAAGGTCTTATTCGGTGTGGCTCCCACACGGGCTCCGGATCTGGCAGTGGAGCCGGCGGAGCGACACTCTAAGGGACCATGACGCCTAAGAGGAGGGCTACTGCTGACTCCTGTTGTTGCCGAGCAACTGATCGGACGCGTCCGGTCCACATAGGGCCGCGTCCGGTCACCTCTGCCGAGCTTGTTTCTTCGCGATCTTGCGTCCGGCTTGGTTTCCATCTTAGTGCTTGGACTTTGCTTGATATCTTGGGTCTTCTCTTGTGCTTCTAGGGTCTTGCTTATGGTGTTGATCGTGGGATCATCATGTCGCCTTCGTCCAAGTCACGTCTTGCACCCTATTGAACTACAAAATGATTACTTGCAAATTCATTAGTCCAATTTAGTTGTGTTGGTCATCAAACACCAAAATCCAAAATAAATGGGTCTAGGGTCCATTTTCCTTACAGACACCAAACTCTCCAAATAGTCGAAGTCCTTCTACGTCCAAAACAGATGAGTCAGAGCCATTTTTACTATATGGTGCATGGAGCTGCCTATTGAGGCTGTGATCGGGGTGCTTCAAACTCCACCTACGGAGCTGACGGGAACTGACGGGAAGAGCTTGCCAAACTCCCCCTAAATGCTTCTTGACAGTGTAACCATGTGGCCAACTATATACAACTGCTTCGGTAAAAAAAAGATACAATTTTAGAATAATGCTACATTAAAGTATGTCAAGTTTAACCAACTTTATAAAATATTAAAATTTATCATACTAAATAGGTATCATTAGATTCATTGTGAAATATATCTTCATAGTATATTTATTTGACTCTATAAACATTAATATTTTTAGCTATAAATTTCGTCAAATTTTAGACACTTTAACTAAAAATGCATTTAGAATTGTATTTATTTTGGGGTGACCAAGGTAGTATCTACTATTCTTTTAAACAAAAATTAAACACTGTAAAGCAATTGATGTTGACAGCAAGTAAATAACAATGCGCAAGCTCACTACGATCGAAGAAAGAATCCACCCAACCACGTCATTTATGCTAATTAATGCCTTAATAATGAAGAGGTATATGACAAATAAATATTAAAGTTGATGAAATCACGATCCTCCCCCCGCATGGCTCGTTCATGGTTTGATCGATTGATGCTACTAGAACTTGGTTGGATGATGCATATGCACGGGAAATTGCCATGACGCACATGGTACATTTTGCCAACTACGGTCTGAAACAACTTATTACTGGCATGGTACTCCTACTCTTTCACTACACGTGTGTTCATCACGGCACCATACCATGCTATACTCTCTCTTTCCGTGTACAACTAGCTGTACGTATCCGGTGGATTATGCTGAATTAATAAGGCAAATACTCATCAATCCATCCCAAATTGTAAGACGTTTGACTTTTTTGACACCAAGTTTGACCACTCGTCTAAAATATCACTTCTTTCGTCGTGGTTTGGTTTATTAATAAAAATTCTTCAAGAATGACTTAAATTTGACTATATTTGCACAAATTTTTTGAATAAGACGAGTGGTCAAACTTATGACAAAAAAATCAAACGTCTTATAATTTGGGATGGAGGGAGTTCGTTCGATCCTTCAGTGAGCAATATAATTGCACACGTGGCATTAGCTTGAGTTAATTTGTATTGCAGCGCGCACGTATTAGCTAGTACCCACCCACACGTACTACTGTCCTTTGGCCAGCTACGTACACAAGAGAGAAGAGGAGAATGAACGCCCTCACGCTATACCTGCGGCTTTTGTGCAGCGGCTTCTTCATCGCCTTTTGGCACCGTAGAGGGCGGAGCCTCACTAAACGCCCTCACGCTATACCTGGGCAAAATGGGCCTGGCACGACCCGACCTGTGGGCCCGATGGATTTTTGCCTGTCCATAAACCTTATTGGACAGGGCCTAGCAGAGATCCCGCTGCCCAGGGAAAATTTTCTTAGCCCGAGCCGGACCCGAAATACTGGTTTTTTTGCTATTTTACACTATAAATGTGCGAATGGCCCGAGCCTGGCCCAAAAAATTAGCACTAACCTGTCCAGTGGGACGGTCATGGGTGGGACCTTTTCGGCCTGAAATAATCAGGCTTTTTTCGGCCCGGCCCAGCCTGAAAATGCTCAGGTCTATCTCACGCAGAGGAATGCTTCCGGCCGCCAAATCACGGAGCTGGAGTTGTTTTCACGTAAGGACGCGAATGTGCGAAAAGTGACTTTGTCCGAAGGGCTCCGTCCAACAGCGGAACACATGCAGAGAAGTCATACCAAACACGCCCTCAGTAGAGTAGTTGATATTCTCGGATAAACCACACAAAACACGCTCTTAATACAATAGTGAATGTTCATCCACATGTTGTCCTTATTTGGTACAACTCTACAGCCTGTTCGGGAGGCCATATCGTATCGTGGATTATTTACTGCTGGCTGATTTGGTATGAGAGAAAAACACTGTTCCTTGCTGAAAATTTACGATCGTTTACGAACAAGCGAACAGGCTGCTAGTTCCTTACTACAGTTTATGAAGTAGTTGGAGCCGGTTAAACTTCTTTTGGCTTTAATTTATTATCGACTTTGTGTTTCACGAGGGAGAAACAAATAGCTCCTTGCTAAAATTCAGGGAAGAAATACAACACTACTACAGGGAGTAGCGTGGTCGGAACAGCAACAGGGCACGTACGGCAGCTTCCATCCTCTGACGTCTTGCCTTCTCCGTTGCCTACCATCTTCCTGTTGGTTGCATCATCAGCAAAGCAAATGCAACTATTCGTCTACTCCTATGCCTCGATAATTGCACGCTTGAGACAGCGGACACATCACCGTACGGATGGTTTGGGAGCTCTCTCCGTCTGTCATCATCTATCCGACATCCATGGCATTCCAATGAGTAAAACTACAGATAGTTAATAGCTACTACTTCCTCTATCAAAAAAAAAAAGTAACCACCGGTCAAACTAATTTATGTTTGACCAAATTTACAATAAATAGTATTAACCCTCGTGTCTCTAATAAAATTTACTTAATAAATATATTCTATAACTACTCTAATAGTACTTTGTTCATGACGGTTAATACTTGTATATAATTTTAGTTAAAGTTATAATTGTTTGTCTCATTGAAAAATGAGATTTGCATCCTTTTGTGGACGAGAAAGTATATGACAAATGACACTATGGAGCAAATACTCCATCCACCATCTTAAAAAAAAAAAGGCAATACAATCTTATGTTTTGGACTAGTCAAACTTGGTTAGGCCTGATTAAATCTATAGATAATAATATTAGCATTCATAACTCCAAATAGATTTCTATAAAGATATAATCCATAATTAATTTAATAATATTTATTTAGTATTACAAATTTTACTTTTAAGTAGATTTATTTAATAATATTTATTTAGAATAACTTAGATACAGTATTCTTTTTTTGGACGGAGGGTATACAGTACTCCGCGTATAAATCTCTCTCCCGACACCACATGACACTAGCGCAAAAAAAAAAAGACACCACATGACACTTTGCTAATGATGATGCATGATTCCGGCAAGGCAAGGCAAAGGGTACGCAATTACGTAGGACTCAATCAACCTGCCCAACCTGCTTGTCTGCCTGTCCCAACATCAACACCCCATGCCCAAATTACCCATGCTTATGCATTTCTTCTTTCTTTCCCGGCCGGCCCAAGTGCTGTCTGCATTGCATGCATCATGCATCCTCAATCATTACGTCCGCCACAGATATACTCCACTAGGCTACACTAGGCCTGTATCTGTATGCCACTATACTGCGAGTCTATGGATCTCTATGGGCTGCTAGATGCTTAGTTTCAGTTTGAGATGATGATCCAGGTCCAGGTGGCGGCCGGGCCATCTGCATCTGCACACTTCTTCAGTCAGGCACACATCCTTCCCTTTCACCCCACTGGACTCGCAAAAGGGATTTCGATTGATCGTTGTGTGCTGTCCTTTCCTTCCAGAAGGCAGAAGCTAGCAGCAGGCAGCAACCATGGGCAGGGCAGGGCAAGCAATCTTGCAGGCAGGGGGACATGCATGCATGCATGCAATGGTGGCCGGCTCAATCATGTGTATCGTCACCCAATCCTTGTTCTTGCACTCGACCTTCACCACAGATAAGATAATGCTGCACACTACCTAAATAACACTACTGGTATACGCACTCAGCAGGGGGTATATTTATATCTACCACAATTTCACAACAGTATAAACACATATACCAGACTGTTTTCTCTAAATAAATAAATAAAACATATACCAGACTGGAGATACATTTTTCTCCAACACCAGACGACCTGGAGAGATAGATACAATCCACGCTAGCCAGCTAATAATAAGGCTAGCTGAGGTCTGCAGAGATACCCAATTTATTTTCTCATGTAGTATGGTCGTCAGAACACAAGGCACCTCGCGCGTGTTAATTAATATAAGAAAGCATAATGAGACATACATACATAGCACACCATTATGTTTCCACCAACTACTATCTATCTATATACACAGCTACAACAGCAGGAGCTAGCTTATATACAGAATAATCTGCTCTACTCACCACATGTACTTAGTACATCAACGTGCTTCTTCACTTCATTCCAATTAGCCCCAACTCTTCTCTAGACCAATCCCAAGCTCGCTCCCGGCTTTAGTTCCCACCTAGCTCCCAAGCTATCCAAGCACTAGCGAGTGCATTTTACATACTGACATAGACAAACCAAAGCAGGAGGAACTGGGGCACGACCGTGGGGTCCAAGTTCTCCAGTCCAAGGATATCGGGTTGCCCGGATCGCTTGCAATGCTGTCTTCTTCTTCTTATTCGAAGAGTTCACGGCGACATGACCTTGTGTGCTCAATCAATCTTGGCTTCTTCTCTTTTGGAGCTAGGTCGCCCATTGTTCTCGCACCTACTGCCCCTGTGGTCCTTAGTAGTCTTGGCAACTAGTCGCGAGTGAACCGAGTTCTGCACCGCCATCACATCCTTAATACCGTCATGGAGCTGCTTGCACAGGGCATCAAGAGCTAGCATGGGGAACGGCTCTTCGATTAGAACACCAACCTGAAATGCAATAGTGTCAGTGCTTATGTAATACATAAAGGCACTGGAATACAGAGAGGGCCTCATAAGCTTCAAACTAAGTGTCGAATCCAACATTTCAAAATAACACCACCAGGATCTCTGAAGATCAATGATACACTTGAGAGCAACATTCACTATCTAGGATATGTAGGGATTACCTAGTCGCTAAATAAACAACCTACTGCTGCAGCTATCTTTCTTTTTTATATATGAAAAAATTGAAGTCCAAAAATCATCCACAAGTTGGGCTGTAACCAGCATTGTACTGATAGAACACACACTCGTTTTTATGGTTATCATATTCAAAATATTGATCCTGAAGTACTAGCTAGATTTCTTCCAATGTTACAGAGTAAGTGACATCAAGATTATGATACAACAATGGCTGCAACTGCTAACAAAATGCGGCTGATTTTTGCACATTTTATAGGATGTGATGCGAGCATGATTGCCAGGCTGAAAATGACAGCAGAAACTTACTTCCTCAATGCAGAATAGTGATGCAGCACTGATAAAGGTAGCTGGAACAACAATCCATTTACATTCCTCCCAGAGTATCACTGGGAGTGTAAGATGCCACAGAACAAGGAATCTTGAAGTAAGTCTAGTGTATGACAGAGGAATAGGAATCCCCATGAGCTGCTCGCAAACACCGATTCCTTCAAGAAAACAAGACAGTTTAGACTCCTACAAAAGCAAGAAAATAAATAGCATTAGGTTACTTGATGATAGCGGCTGAATGCACCCATCCAGTTATTCTACGACTAACGAGAGATACTAGGATGGATAGTTAGTTACCATGATGCTCCGCTTCTGTTCATCGAGATCTAGCATTTGGAGACTCTGTGAAATGAATTCGATAATACATCGTGGTCGATGTTTCGATGCTAGAACAACATTCAGGTCATCTTCGGCAAGCAAGCCCTGAAGGTCCCCTTTTACATCGGAATCGAAAATTATGTGGCACTGAAAGGTTAGTTGCAACACTCAATTCAGTGCAGGAGAAACACTTGAGTGACCACACACAAACACTGTAAAGCTTAGTAAGCGCATCCACAGAGTACAGTAGAGCAGTCGTCAAATGATCACTAGTTCAGTTTGTTATTCCCGAATGGCTGGGTTGAGGACAATAATAATCTGAGCGGTCCAATCCAAGTACCTTGAGCGCGACGGGGAAGGCGAGGATGTAGTTGATGAGCGCGCGCCGGAGCGGGTCGTCGTCGTGGTCGTCAGCATGTCGTCCCCCGGGACCGGGACGGGTATGAAGATTATTAGGATGATGCATGACCATCCCGGCGAGGTCGGCGGCGCCGGCGAGCACGCGCATCCACGCCTTGCGTCCCTCGTCGAAGCGCGCGTAGGAGGCCTCGGTGCGGAAGACTAGGAGGAGCGCGAGCGCGGGCGCGGTGAGCTGGTAGGGGAGCGAGGAGGCGGTGAGCGCGTAGGCCGGGAGGAGCGTGTTGTAGGTGGCGATGGCGGCGGCGAAGGCGGTGAAGGCGGAGACCGGGGGCGCGAGGGAGAGGATGGCGCGGGAGGAGAGCGAGGTGAGGAGGTGGCGCAGGTGGCGGCGGGAGCTGCGGTGCTCCCGCCAGGCGGCGTGGTCGTAGAGCGGGCGGCGGTCGCGGATGCGGCGCTCCTGGATGGCGTCGGCCCAGTCGGGCACCGCGGAGAGAAGGGACAGCACAGGGTTCGGGTTCGGGTTCGGGGGCGTGGAGGCGGGTGGTGGTGGTGGTGGGTCGGGGAAGCAGCGAGCAACGTGGAGGCGGCGGGTGAATGTGGAGCTGGGCGGGTGCTGGTGGTGGCCGCGCCGGCGTGGTGTCGGGGGTTTGGGCGACGGCGCCGCCATGGAATCGGACGAGGGAGGGAAGGGAGGCTTCCCCTTCCCGTCGAGTTCACTGAAAAGCCACCAAAGCCATTCGTTTAACTGGTTGGAAATCTGTGGCGGAGGAGCGCAGCGGATCATCTCAGCCCAGGCCAGTTGCGCATGAGCATGACAAGTGGGTCCCAGGGGACAGCACTCTTGGACCCACCCTGGGATAACTAACTCGGGTAAAAAATACAAAATACTCCGTACTATTTTGACTTACAAAATACATATACTCTCCCTCGGTAGTCATCAGTCCGATTTTCTAGTTTTTTTTTGAACATCCAATTTTCTAGTTTTGTCTGTCAAACTATCTTTAGCTTTGACTAAATTGTTATAATATCAATATTTTATATTAGCGTAATAAGATTCAACATGAATATTTTTTCTACAAGAAGCTTCAAAAAGATCATCGAAGTCTCTGTCAAACAACTGTTCCTCACCTCCATGTTCATGGTTAGCATCAGCGCTAATACTCCATCCGTTCCAAATTATATGACGTTTTGCATTTTTTTCAATATAATTTTTGTTATGCACTTAGATATATACTATATCCAGATATATAGTAAAACCAATGTATATATATATATCTAGAAAAGTCAAAACGTCTTCTAATTAGAAACAGAGGTAGTAGTAGATTTTTAAATTAATTAGATATATGTACAATCAAGACACCCTTCAGAGAAAAAAAAAAGTTACAGTACTTCGACTTTCGATGTCATAATAATAATATATGTTTAATTTCAAGCATGATAAAGCAGGGCAGGGCACTCCACTAGCTCATTCTTCAATTTGCATGCAGACCTCTGGAGGCCTGCTATGCCAAAAGCGAGAAAAACACCTCCTAACAAGATTGATCAGTTTGGATCTTGAACTAGACGGACATCACGCTTCATTTGCAGGAGAATTGATGAAGCTGCTCCAGCAGATGCACAGAGAGTGCCCCAAATTCCATACAAGCGATCATCATATTATTCCACGCACATATATACAGGCCATCACTATTCCAGCCAACAAGCTAAAGCATCATCTACCAAATTAGCTAACAGTGGGGCGGTTAGGGTAGTAGTAGCGGTGAAGGTATTGGCGATAGCCGTACTCAAATTCTCACGGGGGGGATGCAGCACCGCAGAGCGACCATGGCAAAACTCGCATACCCTCTCTGCCTTGCTGTGCCCACATGCAAGTGTTCCATTTCCGTGTGCACAATCAACGCGGCCATGTTCGCTTTGCTGAAAAGCCAGACTAAAAGTACTGTTCGCTGATTTATTGTGATAGAAAAAACACTGTTACACCGCAGAGCGACCATGGCAAAACTCGCATACCCTCTCTGCCTTGCTGTGCCCACATGCAAGTGTTCCATTTCCGTGTGCACAATCAACGCGGCCATGTTCGCTTTGCTGAAAAGCCAGACTAAAAGTACTGTTCGCTGATTTATTGTGATAGAAAAAACACTGTTACTTCGTTGAAACAGAATGGCTGATAAGCCAAGCAAATAGGGCCGCAAGTCCGCTGAAAAACAATGGCAGCAAGAACACACTGTGTGAGCAAGGGAACATCTGTGTAAGAGAGATCTAGCTAGAGCCATACATCTGCCATCACGACACTACCCCACCAAATAGGAAAACCCAGGACACTGACCCTATTCGCTGGGAGGGATTTGGAGAAATCTGGATGAATTTGGAGGAATTTGTGAGAATGTGAACAGCGTTTTTCATCCGCGCACAGTAAAATCCGGCTGATTTTTCATCCAGCCGAACGCCCAAACATCTGACAACACAAGCAAAAAGACAACACAAATAAGATTCACACAAACATGTTGTATAGTATACAAAAAATATTCAGGATTGTTCTCCAATAAATTTAGCATAGAGAAATTAAGTTAAAAAATGAAATAACGGGAAGCACATAGAATATTACGCTACTAAGTTACTGAAAAATATGACTGCAAATATCGAAGGTCATCATCGTAGGACAATGAGATAGGTTGCACAGGAAGTCGATTTGCAACACAGGGTGGTGGGTAAGGCTATCTACAACCACAACACCTAAAATACAATATCTATTCGTTCTTTGATAGCGCTACAGACAAAAAGTTTAATACCTATTCGGTATCTTCTCCGACCAGAAGATCAAAAAAAAAAAATCTTTTCTGCAAATAGGTTTCCAGGAAAGAGGATATCCATATTTGGGTTGTGTCTCTCAGACAACCCAAAATAGGTCTCCCGTATAGGTGATTTTGGGTCTCTTGCTACCCATTTTGGGTTTGGGTGCCCATATAGGTTCTTTGTTGGAGACAGTCTAATAGCTTTACTGTTACCCTTGTACGAAGCAAAACTTGACAGGCATCTCTTTGCTGACACAGCATAATTTGTTCTAGTTTGGATTCAGGACTAAAGTTTAGTCCGTGTCACATCGGACATTTTGATGCTAACTAGAAGGACTAAACATGAGTTAATTATAAAACTAATTACACATAAGTAGACTAATTAGCGAGATGAATCTATTAAGCCTAACTAATCTATGATGAGCACATGTTATTATAGCACCACATTGTCAAATCATGGACTAATCAGACTTAATAGATTCGTCTCACAAATTAGCCTTTATCTATGTAATTAGTTTTGTAATTAGTCTATGTCTAATACTCGTAATTAGTATCAAACATCTGATATGACATGGACTAAAGTTTAGTAGGGGATACAGGCTCCGAGAGAGGTACTGAGAAAGGAGCGAGGTAAATGAAAATCCACACCCAGCATGATAAACACACAAAATTTCCATTAATTTTCAACTAACAATTTCTCCGTTGTTGCCGGAACAAGAGGGCCCTTATGCTTTCCGACGACAAGGCAAGTCATACCACAAACACAAACAAATCTCGACTATTCTTCAACCCAATTGTGCAGGTCCCTCAAAAGCCATCAGCAACAACACAGGTTACAACTGATATGTACCAAAAGTCGCGCCTAGCACTTCATATCCACCTGCTCCTAAAATACCGCTTTCTTCATCGATGACACAGAATCTTCCAGCTGCGGCAGCGACAGATCGCACGCGCACCTCTCTGATCGTGAAGCAAAGAACTGAGGCAGCGTCTTCCGCGACATTAACTCCATCAGGCACCAAAACACCATGTATAATATACCTCGTCACATCAAGACAATCTATGTAATGTTTATTATGAAGTGTTTAACCTAGCCGTGCCCAGCATATGTAATATAGCCGTGTGTTAAACCCCAAAATATTAGAGCCAACAATCAACGATATACCTCGATGCTGCATTACTCACCTCCTAATTATTTTTTCGCAAGTGCGCGCGCGCCCTGCACTAGTTAATAAATATATATATATAAACAGTTCGAAGCGGCATCAGCTCTAGCGATGTATTGACCGATCGACATGGGCCGGACTAGCTGTGAATTGTAGACATAGGCCGGACTGGCTATGAATTGTAGTCTACCAACTAGTGGGCCTATAAGTATGCATGTTGATGGGCCTATAAACAGTACTATCACCAAACAGATATATTGTATTTTTAGATAGAAACGATTTTGTTACTAATTTCGTGAATTTTTTATTCGAATTTCATTGATTACGAATTTCTTATAGATTAAACCAATTTTGTAATATAAGAAAACACAACCCACCTTTGAAACCAGATATTATCCGGAACTAGTACTTCATCAATGGTTAAATATTTCTGGATCTACAGTTGTAAATAAATCGCCAAAAAAAAACACACACACACCTTGACAATAGTAGTTAGGAGCGGAAGCAGACACACAACAAATCATTAGGTGGGTTAGTCATAATACAGTACGACCCAAAGTCATGCTGTCAAGGCAGCGAATCCACTAGCACCTAAAGCAAATGAGTGATGCGACCGATTAGCCCTAAGACCAAAAGAATGTGACATTCACTAGATTACATCTCAAACAAAAACAAGTACACGTCTTTTGGCTAAAAATCTACAGCATGCCTTCCTAATTCTGGAACACAGTGCCTCAAGAATGGATCAATGTTTTCCATTATATACAGTCGCCCCCACAGTCCCTAAAACAAAACGGGGGCGGCGATGTATTCTACACCAGCACCAACCTAAAGCCATGGTGGTTTCCACCTGGTACACAACTCTGAACGAATTCGATGTTGTTGGTGTTTAACTTGCACATAGCACAAATGCCAAATACCATCGCTTCAGTGCCAACAAGTGAGACTAATTTCCTTGCCTCCAATTCATCAAAATAATCATACACGTGTCAGCTGTCATCATCTAAAGACCCAATATAGGTCAGTTCTGTCCTCCTCACCCTCACAGCACCCTTAAGCCAGCTACATGCTTTCAGATTAGCATGGTCACCCGTCACTCCACTCGCACCACTGCTTCCGGATGTTGTGGAGGGGCAGCTTGTGCCATCTTCGAGCAAGTTCCATGGATCTACCTCCATTTCAGGATCATGAGAAGGCAATGCTGCCTTGCTTCTGCTCGAGACATTAGTGGGCACCCAACTCACAGAAGAACTTTTCTGTTGAGGACCTGCACCAGACGTACTGCTCTGGAGTGGTGTTAATGCAGCCAACGACAGCTGAGGAGGTTGACATTGCATAGAAGGGTGCCGGGATGGTGGAAGAAGAGGCATGGCTGCTTGGATCCTTCGCCTGATTGTTTCAGGCAATTCCATGTGATCCAGCGCAGACTGCAAGATACAAAAAATTAGAACAAAAGAGGCCATGCTGCATGAAATTAATATAGGTACAAATCAACTATTGTAAAAGAAAAAAAATAAAGCCCTAAGCCAATCACTGTATAGCAAAGATGAAGGAAAATAAACTTTGTGCAGAAAGATGGAACAGCCTAAAAGAAAAACTAGGGTATGCATTTATGAATTCAAGCAAATGAACTAACCTGTAAACCTTCGGCTGCTTCATTATCAAATGCGGAGAAATCTCGTTGAGTTCTAATTGTCAACCTAGAGGCTGACCTTGACTTCAACCAACTTGGTTTGTAGCTGCCAAGCAGCGCATGGAGAACGCATAAAAGCCTCTCAAAAAGACTTTCACCAGGCCGATCAAGCAGGACATCCAGGGGAGGTTCC